GGTAAAGGTGACCATTTAACGAAGCAATGTCCGCTGAGGAGATGCTGAATTGTCTCAGTGTTGTCATTCGGCATCTGAATGTCCAAAGTCCGCCCCTACTATTACCACTACTGCCAAGACCGATTCTAGAGCGGAGGCAGTGCGGATGGTTGGGTCGACAGAGGCGACAGTTCAGAGTGTTGATCATGGTGAGACTGTTATTCTTCCATCACGCAGTGTTGTCATTCGTGCGTGGGGTGATGGTGACGAATTGGATGGTGGAATATTGACTGCGACTTATGGTGGGAAAATTGTATTGAGGGGCTTGGTGGATACTGGTGCTACCGATGCCCTGTTATCGAGGACTGTATATGATCAGATTCGTGAGCATTGCCCTGGAGTTGCACCACTGATACCGTGCCATGCTACGGCTTTACTAGCTAATGGCACTACTGAGGAGGTCGAAGGCATAGTGAAGCTTGACCTCATTTTCTGTGATCGGGTCATCACACATGAATTCTATGTTATTAGGGAACTGCAACCGGGTATTATTTGGGGTCTACGTCTGTTGGGACGTGTCGGAGTCACAATTGATATAGGTGACTCGACCAAGGGACTATGTATTACTACTCGGGTGAAGAGTCTACCGAAGGAAGAGAGTCTTGATGTTACCGAACCTGGAATCATTGCCAACGTACATGCTGACTCCAAGGAGATTGCGGTTCGTAGAGTGAGTGGTGTATGTTGTGCTCTTTCCTTGGAAGAAGCGGCCCCTCTCCTAGGTGATACTAGTGATGATCCACTTACGAGTCCGCTTGACACTGCTGCTGTACGTTCTTTCGCTTCTCCGAGTTGTGAGGAAATGGAGTTCGACTGGCGGCCGATACCGGCAGCACCAGAATATGATTATCGGGTAAGGCATGCCAAGGAGTCTGACATCCTCGACTTGCCGGGCGAACAGGAGTATGTTTGTGAAATCAGATGGCCTCCTTTGAAGTCCCATATTGGTGGTGTTCAAGCAGACTATGGTAAAGCCATGATTGCTCGATTAAGTGAGAGTCAGAGGGATCTATTGGAGAAGGAGGTAGCCAACTATCTTGCGCATCGTTGGTGGGAACGCTCTCCACCACCTGATGCTGCTGGCTCTACCCCTTCCACTGATCCTAGTATCATAGTTTTTCCGCTTCAGCAATCGTTACTGAAGTCGACGAAGCTTAGACCCGTATGCGATGCGAGGGGGTGGAATAACCTCCTCCCCCAAGCTTCGTATCTAGGGTCTGATACTACAGTGTTGCTCACAGAGATGCAGTTGGCTGTTAATAAGCTGTTACTGGATGGTTATCCAATGAGTGAGATTGCCATTGGATACCTTGATGTAAATCGTGCGTTCTACCGCATTCATCTAGATGCGGGTTTGAAGCTACGACTTTCCTTGGGTGGTACTGAGTA